TGACAAAAATTTTCTATGAACACATCATCTTGAAACAAGAAACAATTCTGAGTGCAGTGTTTAAACTCAAATAAGTAACAGTTCAAACGATGGATGAAATAAACCTAGGTAGGCCCTAAAGCCAAAAAAAAAAAAAATTTCAGCCACTTATAGGTATTCCTGATTAGATCCCAGGCCTCAAATTAAAATCATACTAGGAAGTGGGATGCATTCAATGGCCTAAGTTTGGATTCGAAATCTTTCCATTCCTAGCTATGTAATGTGAAAAGCTGCCAAGTAGTCTTTGCCTTCTCCATATTCCAGTGTATCCTTCCCATGCCTGGTGAAACTGAATTGGCTGAATCTGACCAAATAACAAGTTATCTTTTAAGGGAAAATTAACTCAACTATAGGTCAGTTAACCCCATGCAGAAGAATAGCAGACATCCGCCAGAACACAAAGACAAGGCTTGGTTTTGGCTTTAATAACAAAAGATCAACCTCACCACTGGAGTTTAGCACCTGAATGCGAATTCATATTCTTTCAACAATAGCACATCCACAAAACAGCAATTTAGTCATGCTCAATCTTGAACTGCTTACTACTCAGTTTCCATAGAAAAGCTTGGTGGAGACAAATGTTATACAAGAAGAATCACTCTTCTTGTGACATACAAGTGCCCTGGCTGGTCGTGTGACTAGAAACTCAACTATTTATAATCCTCACTTCAGTTGCCACAGAAATATTGGCACATATTCACATTATGGCCCTACCTTCTTAATCCACTTTAGTTAACAAGTTCACCAGATCAGGTATGCTTTCTGTGACTTTTACTAAAACTCTTGTATCACTCATCTATATCCCAAATTCTGATGAATTCAGTGTTAGCATAATGTTTATCTTGATGAGTGAGTGTCATTTAATTCATTAAGCAAATGAGAATTAGGGGATTTCATGCTTTTTCTTTCAGCCTAAATTAAATTTGGGGGTGTTAAATTTGGAGTGAAGTTTTATGCCCCATCTGAGTAATTATCATTATTCTAGGGTTGGTTTGTTGGGGGGGGGTGCATTTTTTTTTTTTCAAAACACAGCTTTCTCCCTGTCCCTTCCATCTGCGATTATTGGCACTGCTTGCTGTAGCCATTTGCTCACACAGGCAAAAAGGGGCTGTCTGAATACAGAACTCACGTGAAGAAAGCCAAAACAAGAGATGGAATGAGAGAAAATGGGATCTGTTAACATCTTCTGAGTCCCAGGACCAAGCTGTGCCTGAAGCAATACCCTGTCTTTTTCCAGTTAAGTGAGCCAATACATTTCCTTTAGGCTTCAGTCATTTTGAAGCAGATTTTCATTCACTAAGAAGTTTAAACAAAAAAACTTTTGAGATTATTTGACAAGTACTGTCATTACTGTAATTCATTTTCTTAAAAAAACAAAGTAGGTACAGCTTTATGAATGAACCCAAGAAAGTGAAACTTTTGAACATCATGTTTACGTTAGGTCAAATTTATAACAAAAGTAGGTTAAAAACACATTCTTTCAAAGGAACTAACACTAAAGAAAGAAAAAAGGGAAAAAGCCTTTTAACAACCATTTTTATTGACAGTTCTCTATAAGAGCAGAAAAGAGAAGATTAGTAAAGAAAAGGAGAAGCATTGCAACATCTACAAGAAAAGTAATTTTTCTGAAAAACACGCACAATGTTCTAAGTGCAAACCTGGAACATACCTGCCAGACCAAATCAGGATTAAAATTAAAACTTGGAGCTTCCTGCAAGAAGATAAATCACAAATAACTTCATTCACTTTGCTTCCTTTTATTTTCATTCAGGTGACTTTAGCCCCCCTGGCTCAACTGGCTGGTAATAGTTATGATGGCTTCAAGAGAGCTGTCCCAGCTTTTGTGAATGCAGTTGGCCCTCCCCAATGGTCACCCCACTGAGACACATTTTTCACAACTCTAAAAGCCCAGAGGGATTAAAAAAAAGAATAAAATAATGCCATTTGCAGCAACATGGATGGACCTGGAGATCATCATTCTAAGTGAAGTAAGCCAGAAAGAGAAAGAATGATACCATATGATATTATTCATAAGCAGAATCTTTAAAAAAAAAAAAGGCGACACAAATTAACTTATCTACAAAACAGAAACAGACTCACAGACATAGTAAACAAACTTACGGTTACCAAGGGGGAAAAGGGATGGGAAGGGATAAATTGGGAGTTCAAGATTTCCAAATACTAACTACTATATGTAAAATAGATAAACAACAAGTTTCTTCTGTATAGCACAAGGAACTATGTTCAGTATCTTGTAGTAACCTATAATGAAAAAAAATATATGTATGTATATGTATGACTGAAACATTGTGCTGTATACCAGAAAATGACACACTGTGCACTGACTATATTTCAATAAAAAATAAAAACAAGGACAAAAAGATTTTTAAAAAGTTTAAAAAATAAAATAAAAGCCCAGGGGGGTGCAAATAAATCTACTAGAACTACCAGACTGTGGTTCTACAAGTTCCTTAAATGGGCAAGATTTCACAGATTTTCACAACAAACACCTTTCTTAAGTAGATGCAAAGTATATTTTTGGAGAAGATGGGTAGCAAGAATCTGACCCTCAATTTCTCTAAGAAGCAAGGGAAAAGGTATGCGTAACTTCTAAACCCTTAATTCATGTCATCTGTCTGAAACTAAAGGTCCAGTTTACTCTAGGAGAGCCCCTTTAAACTTTAGGTGTGCCAAGGCATTAGATGACACTGATATTTACCCAAAGGTGTAACACAATTGTGTCTCAAGTTCCACCCACAAGGTTTAAGGGTCAGTTCTATTTGGTAATCAACCCCAAGGCTTGCAAAATGTGGGTTTCCAACATTCCCCCCAATTTCATAGACATGAAACGTACAAAATTAGAAGAGATCACAGCTTTTGTCACAACCTACACACATGACTGAGAAGATGACCAGGTACCTTCATAACTCGACTTATGCAGGTTGAATATAGATGATACTGGGACCCATACTTCTCCACTGACAAAACAGAAGACAGTGCTTTGTAAATTAACAAGCACCCAAAAGACAACAGAAAACCTCCAGAGTCAGTTCCCTGACAAGTATATTGATCATCAATTGTCCTAAAAATGTGTTCTTCTACAAATCAGCGTCATTGGCACCCATTAAAAAAAAAAACTCCAGACTCAATTTACCGATAATATATGGATGTGAATTTGCCCTAAAAATTATGTTGTTATGCCTTCTCTTATAAATGGCCTAAACGAGTGTTTATTTACTATTTTTTGTTTTCTAATAAAAACATGATATTAGGAAGAGAGATCCATACACAAAATTTATAAAAGTCACTAAAAAGTACTAACTGTCTTTGCATAGAGGCCTTTACCAGGAAAATACCCACTGCACTGGGTGAGATGTCATTCCTGGTTTCTCCAGATTCGGAACTCGTGCTTTCTTTTTTTTTTTTTTTTTTAAGATAATTTGGAAATAGATTTTATATGCATCCTTTATTCTATTACTAATTGTGCTAAGAACTGGGGAGGGAGGGAGGTATGGAGGTAGGTGGATGGGGAACTGAATGACTCTTTGCAAAAAAATAAAATAAAAATTTTTGTCTTTTTTATTTTCTTTTCTAAGCCTTAGCCAAGTTTCAAGTTTGGTTCCAATGTGAAGTGAGGATGAAATCTCAGTTATGAATCACTCCCCCACATGTGTAGAATGCTAAGTTTCTTTTCAAAATAAGTTAAAATTACACAAATTCAAAATGAATTGATGAGTCAAAATTAGCAATTTTTTTTAATCATATTGGTATTTAGTCCCTTTGATAATTTTTTCAAACTAATTTGCTGCAAATGTATTATAAGTGCCCTGAGTCATGTAACCTCATTTAGGGGACATAAAGTTTTAAAGTAAATGTTCTACATTATTTCCACAAAAATCCACTTGGATGAAGACACTGTCATTGACTAGAAAAAAAAATCCCAAGTCAGAATTGTACATGCCAAGAATTCAGTAGTTCATATTAGTTTCTTTTTCCCCAGGACTTGGGAGATTTTTGGCAGACAATTTAAAATCATGTGCTACAAAAAAGACAGAAAAATCATTATCCTATCAGCAAGCTTCAGACTTCTTTTGTAGGCTAATGGTGACTAGCGAACTCTCGAATGTTAAGCTTGTAAGTAGAATAATCAGACTGCAAACATCATTGGCATAATTTTTTTTTTATTCTTAAGATAAATACTATTTGTTTCCTTCTGGCAAATACTGGAAGTAAAAAGAATTTAAATTTCTAGATACTGACAAAGCAACTGGGTTTCATTTAGATTTGTTTCTTAATCATAGTTCAATGGCTTTGTCATCATTATTTACCTCATTATTCTTTAAATGCTCTAAATCCATCCAAGAGGATCTTCACTTCTTTTAAATACTGTATCTCTATTCCTCCACAGCTAAATAAAATACCTTGTGAATATTTAATAAGTAACCATGACTTCCAGACTTAGTTAGGAGAAAATACTGGAGTCATGGGAAAGTATTATTCTTTGAAAAGTAAATTTTGCTGATAGTATAATTTTAATTATTTAAAACTTCTGTTGCATTAAAACAACTTCTGTTTGCCAAATCTTAGTTTCTGAAGGTGTCTTTTCATTATAATGTGAATGTGAGGAAAAGAATTATTCTAGCCTTAGAAATTTACTTTCAAAGCACACACAAAACCTCCCTTAGGGTTGAAATCATTGGCTATGCTCTGGAAATAAATCCAGCTCCTTTCAGCCAAGGGATACTTGAGCCTTTTATTCTTTTGCCCAGATAAGGCATCCTAATTAAAGGGGCAATAAATTAAATGCACTGGAGAAGGCAAAGAAATCCAGAAGAAAAGCACCCACCAGGGTGCCTAGAGAAAAATACAAGGTTAATTTCATGTGTTTATGTTAGGCACCATCAAGTTTACAACAAACTCCAAAGGAACAGCTGTTTTTGACAAACGTGAACAGCTCCTACCTTCATTTCAATGACAGTCTGGAGAGCCTTCGTCTTAGCTGGCTCCGGCTGAAGTTGGCTTCTTCGGTGTAATTCCTGGGGAGGAACACGACAGAAATAAGCCTGACGGTTCATCCTTCCATTACACCATGACCTTTACACAGGCACCACACAGCCCACCAGATTCAGGTTCACTGTGCACAGACACGAAAAAGCCACAGGTGCCTCTTCCCCCACCCTCTTTAGCATCCCTCCTGCCTGGAGCCCTGCGTTCCGGTGAAAAGCTCCTGGCACATGCGCTATTTCTGAAACTTCCATCAATAATTAACGTCAACTGTGACAAAGCCAGCAAGTAATCATAGTCCAAATACTGTTCAACACTGGGGCTGTTGCCCAGCCATCAAATTTACTAAATTACATTACTCTGTGCTCCCAATACAAACATAGCAAGAAAACGGAGAAAAGAAAATGACTAACGTGGTTGCAAACCCGCTGCACGCATGGCATTTTGCTACTGAGGTAGGTTTGAAATGAGCAATTTAAAACATTTTCAGTACAACTGTGTCACTTTTTGGAGTGAACTGATCTGATGAAACCCTGTGAATCTCTTGTTTCCTAATTTACAGTTTCAGTCCTTGTTCAAAACCACATCTGTGTGTGATATATTTATGCACTCATGATGCCAAAAAATTAAAACTGGCATTAATATCAACAGTGTTAGAGGGGAGACAAAAATGGTTAAAGCCAGATGTAGACCCAAGTACTTCTTTAGCTAAAAAGAAAACAACGTAATTACAATTTTAAGCTTCAAGACTCACTTTTCACATGCTGCTTCTCAAAAAAAAACAGTTCTGCTGAGACTCTTAAAGGTTGCCCTTGGCAGAAGAGATAAAGATAAGGTTTGTTCAGTTCATGTTTTGATTTTCTTAATACTAATTATCAATGGTTTTATGAACGTAGCCAATGACAGCAGTAAACAAAAGTGCTCATGCATGTCCATGCTGCTGAAACAATTAGTCACCTATGGATTAATTCCATTAAGATTTATTTGACTTAAAAGCCACCTATGGATAATTCCATAAGATTTATTTGCTTCCAGAAAAATCACTGGAAGTCAACATGGAGGAGTTCTAGGTCCTTACATTTCATTGGACCACGGATATTTTTAAGAAAAAGAAAGAAAAGAAAAACCTTAGGCATTAAAGAAGAGGACCAACTATAATTTCTGGCTTTTTCCAAGTAAAGACATTAAAATGAACCCTACCTCCACCACTACCATCTACTATTATCATCATTTCATAAAGATAGAACATATTAATATAAAAATTGCCAAAAGAACAAAATCAATAAAACAACCAACAAACAATAAAAGACAGTCCTTCCCTGGGTCCCAGGATGAGAAAACAGACAACTTTTCACCTATATCCTATTACATTGTCCTTATCTGCCAGCAGCCCGAGAAGACTTGGTCATGGACCACAGTGCACATGCCTAGGGACCAGCACTAGAGAATTACTGCTACAGCTCTGGACTGTAACATTTTTTCTTCTCAAAGTTGTCATTGGCACAAATCAGAAAATCTGTGCAAAACTACCTCTCAACCTTCAATCTGAGAAAAATTAGAATTGGTGCTTCCTCATTATTCAAAATGGTATCACATCAATTGGGACATTTTCTCCCTAACATATCCCTGGAAGGGATGGAGTCAAGTATTAATGAACCTATTTTATAAATAGAGAAACAGAAAGAGATTCAGTGTTCTTTCAGAGGCCCTGGACTGCAATGACCTGACAACACAGGTCGTTTTGAAGCTCTGTGCTGATGGCAGAGATTTTCTGAAGGAATATCCTTAAAAGCAACTGTCTTTTATTGAACATCTACAATGTCCCTGACACCACTTGTCTCTGTCAATCCTCAACACTACCCTGTAAAGACTGACCTGTGTGGTGAGTCCAGTGGACTCCTGGTAAACATTTAACAACTAGACCCACCATGGCCAACCTCAAGCTACTAAAGTGGCATCACTGAATGCAGAGTTGGGCAGAGAGTTGCAACAGCACACCATCATATGGTATTTCCACCATATGGACAAAACAGATAACATCAAGAGCCTAGGTCATAAAGTAATGTAACAAAAATTGGGAAATTATGGGTTTTTCATACAGTTTCTTTAATCGTGAGTTTGTATTTGTAACATCAGCTATTACAACAAGTTTCCAATATTTGGCTTTCCTAGGCCAGTGCAATCCAGTTTTGGCACACCACTGGGTTTATCATGTAAGGACTTCAACCTTAAAAAAAAAAAAAGAAGCAACTTAACCCTCAACATTACTTCCAAGATTGCTGGAGTTGACCAGACCAATAAAAGTTCATAGATGAGAAAACAGAAAGTAAGTCACTTGTCAGAGCTGTTCATAATAAGTGGTAGAAGAAACACATTTCACAGGTCACCATTTCTGATACCTTGTGGCATCAAAGGCATCATAATTTTTAAACTAAGAATGAAATTCATAATAATTTAATATCATAGTCAATCTGGTTCCAAAATATAAATCATGATAATTTGAGGAGAGAGGTTAAGCTTATATAAAACACATAGAAATAATCAAGAAGCAACTAAGCAACACAAAATAAAAACCATAGGGCAATGACATATGCCATTATAATTTCTGCCAAGCCTGAAAACATTTTTAAGGGCAAACATGCATTAACAAAACTAAAGTTGTAACAACAGTTTTACAAAAATGAAAACAGAGTCCTCTTTGCTATAATTATGCAAGTTCTGTTATAATACAAACCAGCTCAAAATCCAGATTGGACCCTTACCCTCTGTCACTCCTTAAAAAATAAATAAATAAAAGAATATCCAATTACCCAAGAACTGTAATTTTCCTATCCTAACTACATTATATTTCAATCAATGTTGACTTCATAGTTTCTGAGGTTCACCTTAATTCCTAAGGTATCAGGTAAGTGAAGATTATAAGCCACATGCAGACTTCACAGATTGTCTGAAAGTACCATTCCAGATACTTTATCCATCTCTTGAGATTCAGGATCTTTAAACTGCTCACTCTGTCTGTGGCAGAAAGGACCAGTTGCCCAATGAAGATCTGTGCTCCTCTTCAGTACTGCAAAGCTATTGCTCAGAAGTACTACCAACACCACCCTTGTATCCAGATGGGGCCATGTGACTTATTTCTGGCCAGTGGAATATGGGTAAAAATGAGGAACTCAACTCCATAAAAAGTCTCCTACCCTGTCCTCAACTCTTTTCCTGTCTGCTGACTATAAGTAAAGGACTCCAAGACCCAAGAAGATGGCAGAACCTAGAGATAAAAGGAGAATGGGTTTTTGAAATGCCATGTAAAAAGGCTGCTGAACACCCACGTTGGATGGTGGTACACATGAAAATAAACTTCTAATAAGTTAGCCTCTGTGCTTTCAGGCTTTATCTGGAGAGAACCCAGCTGTCTTTGCTTTAACTACTGCAATGGTTGGAAGGAAAAATAATATCTAATTAGTCCTGTATTGTTTGCTGCTTTTGAATTACAAAAGTAATTTTAACATGTGAGTGTTATCAAACAGACAGCAAGATGAGTTGGTTGCTGGGTGTTCCAACTATCCCTAACCATCTGAAAGATGCACCCATTATGCATTGATCTCAAGTAAAGAATTTACCCAGGAGTATCTGATATAGGGATGAGGGAGTACAAGATTTAACTTACTCTGGAAGTTTTTAAATGACAGTATTAAATCATCAAGTGCAATGGTTCTAGTGCTTTTCTGGGTCACTGATCTCTGTAAGAATCAGATGGAAAATGTGGATTCTCTCCAGAAATAGACAAAAAAGCAAACATAAACAAAATGGTATACCATTTTGGCTGGTTCACAGGGCCTGGCCCAGCATCCAAGAAGTTCATTTTTGAACCAGACTACAAGCTAAAAACCACTTATTGAGATGAAAGAGCACCATATGGGAAGTGTGGAGTCAGGACCCTATAGTTCAGCCTGAGACCTTGGGCATGCCCCTTCCCATCTCTCATCTATAAAATAAGAACCTTTATGAGTGGGTTTCTAATGGCCCTTCCAGGTCTGAGGACATCCATTTCTAATAGCCAGATGATTCTGAAAAGTTCAGGCTGTATTTCTAATTACACCCATTCTCAGTTTTTAAAACAGAATAAAACTAAAAGAAGAAAAGTAGATAGCACAATGACACTGATACTGAGGTTATGTATTTCTCTGTAATTTCCCGACTAGGTTGGCCTTAGCTGGTTTAAAATTGCCAGTTCCTGCAGGTGATCAACATGGAAATTTACCAATAATCCATAATTTTGAGCATGAAATCTCAAGTGGTTCATCAGGATGACATTTCTTGGCAGTTAATGAGAATCTAAAGTCTAGTGAGTTAATCTGGATGGACATTAGCATCCAAGATGAGCCTGACAGAATAATGTCTGCACATACCATATACTTTCTTCAGTAGACCAAAAAAAAAATCAAAACCTAACTTTCTATTCAAAAGTAACTTACTATTTTTACCTGACTTTTCTGCCTTACCATTCTGGTAATCTCCTGGTGTGTAACAAAATCTCCCCAAATTTAGTGGTGTTAAACAATTTTATTATGCTCATGAATTCTAGGTCAGTAATTCACCAAGGATAAAGTAAAGAAGGCTTGTTTCTAAGGCATGGTATCGGGGGCTGGAACAGCTGGAGCTGGTGGATCTACTTCTAAGATGGCTTCTTCACTCAAATGCCTGGTGCCTTGGCTGGAAAAATGACTTGAAGGCTGAGTATAGCCGGAATTGTCCATTTGAGCAACTATATATGGCCTCTCCATGTGGCCTGGGCTTTCTCACAGCATGGCAGTCTCAGGGTACTCCAACTTGAGGTGTAAAAATTCCAAGAGCAAGTGTTCCAGCAGATAAGCCAGAGACTGCATGACCTTTTATTACCTAACCTCAGAAGTCCCATAGCATCACTTCTGTAATGCTCTGTTGGTTCCAGCAGTCACAAGCCTGCTCAGATTCCACGGAAGAGTGTCAAAGATTTTGAAGCCATATTTTTTAATTGCCACTTTAAAGGAACAAA